GCGGTTGGTGGGTTGGCTACGTACGGTGCGAAAGAAGTTCAGCGTCATGGTGTGGGTACGGTGCGGTGTGGTTCTGGTGGACACGGCACCATCGCCCCCCCCCCCACGCTGCTTGTTGCTGGCCGTGTTGAGTCAGGTGGTCTCCGTGGGAGTCTGTGGGTCTCTATGCGTCTCTGGGTCTCCATGGGTCTCGTTGTGTCTCTTTGTCAGGTCACGTGTCTGATTCTGAGGGTGGCCAGCACCACGCCTCGCGTGCGGCGATGCTTCTACATCGCAACAGATGCTCATTTAAGGCTGAGTCGACCTAAGTGGGGGCCCATGCCCGGTTCAAATATTCACCGCTGTTATTGGCCACGAGCGGGAGTTGAACTCAGGTCGCCGGGTTCGTTGAGCAGTGTGCTAACTACTGCGCCACCGCTCCCAGCATGTGATTATACACACATGGACACACACAAAGAAAAAGACAAAGATCCCCCGTGTAGCCTTGACAAACTGCAGGGGCAAGTGCTGTTAGCGAGCGGCACCTATGAAGGCCGGCACGGCACACGAGGGGGTGGGTGACCAGCTCCACGGCCGGCCGTCTTTGTCTCCCCAGTGGCGATGTTTGCACACTGCACCTTGTACTCGTTTGAGGCTGAGTCGACCTAGGGGACGTCCAGGACCGGTTCAGATAATCGTCACCGGCGTTGGCCGAGAGCGGGTTTCAAACTCGGGTCGCCAGGTTCGTAGCGCAGCGTAGCGCTAACCACTACACCACCGCTCCCCAACACACAGTCACACACACACACAGGCATATACCGCTACAGACTGTATATTCACATATACCCTCACACACACACATACCGACACAGACACACGTGAAAGACAAACATTGAGATCGTACATCACACTCGCACAACACGCACACACACACACAGCCCATATAGATGATTCAACAACAGATACACACAGACACGCACACACACGCGTACACACTCACTCACATACTCGCACACATACACACATACTCACACACTCACTCACACTCGCACAACACGCACACACACAGCCCATATGGATGCTTCAACAACAGATACACACAGACACGCACACACACACGCACACACGCGCACACACGCGCACACACGCACACACACGGTCCACTACACCCACTGACACACAAGCCACGCACACACGAGCAGAGCACACATCCGCACCTTGCGCACACACGCACGGGCTTAAAATACACCCACGCACACTGTCACGCCACCCCTTTTAACACACACGCACTCACACACACACTCACACACTCACTCTCACACTCACACACTCACTCACACACTCACTCACACACTCACACACACACTCACTCTCACACACACTCACACACTCACACACTCACACACACACTCACACACTCACACACTCACTCACACACACACACTCACTCGCACGCACACTCACACACACTCACACACTCACACACACACTCTCACACTCACACACTCACTCACACACACACACTCACTCTCACACTCACACACTCACACACACTCACACACTCACTCGCACGCACACTCACACACACTCACACACACACTCACACACTCACTCTCACACTCACACACTCACACACTCACTCGCACGCACACTCACACGCACTCACACACACACTCACACACTCACTCTCACACTCACACACTCACTCACACACTCACACACACACTCACTCTCACACACACTCACACACTCACACACACACTCTCACACTCACACACTCACACACACACTCACTCGCACGCACACTCACACACACTCACACACACACGCACTCACACACTCACACACTCACTCACACATTCACACACACACACACCCACACTCACACACACTCGCACACACTCACACACTCTCACACACACTCACACACTCACACACACACTCTCACACTCACACACTCACTCACACACACACTCACTCGCACGCACACTCACACACACTCACACACACGCACTCACACACACGCACTCACACACTCACACACTCACACGCACACTCACACACTCACACACACACACACCCACACTCACACACACTCGCACACACTCACACACTCACACACACTCGCACACACTCGCACACACTCACACCCACACACTCACACACTCACACACTCACACGCTCACACACACACATGAACCTGCTCGTTGACACACACACACACTGCTCGTTGACACACACACTTACACATACCATTGCTCACTTGCACACACTCAGACAAAAGACAAAGATCCCCCGTGTAGCCTCAACAGACTGTAGGGGCAAGTGCTGTTAGCGAGCGGCACCTATGAAGGCCGGCACGGCACACGAGGGGGTGGGTGGCCAGCGCTACGCCCGGCCGCCTTTGTCTCCCCAGTGGCGATATTTACTACACACCGCACCGAGTACTCGTTTGAGGCTGAGTAGACCTAGGGGAGGCCCAGGACCGGTTCAGATAATCGTCTCTGGTGTCGGCCGTGAGCGGAATTCGAACTCGGGTCGCCTATTGTCACGCACACAGACACACACCCACTCACTGCACGCACACAGACACACACCCACTCACTGCACGCACACAGACACACACCCACTCACTGCACGCACACAGACACACACCCACTCACTGCACGCACACAGGAGGTGCACACACCCAATCATTAAGTCCCCATCACAGTCGCCCTTGTGTGTGCCTCCGCGTGTCTCCGCGTGTCTCCGTGTGTCTCCGTGTGTCTCCGCGTGTCTCCGCGTGTCTCTGCGTGTCTCCGTGTGTCTCCGTGTGTCTCCGCGTGTCTTTGTGTGTCTCCGCGTGTCTCTGTGTGTTTCTGTGTGTCTCTGTGTGTCTCCGCGTGTCTCCACGTGTCTCTGTGTGTCTCCGCGTGTCTCCGCGTGTCTCCGCGTGTCTCCGTGTGTCTCCGTGTCTCTTGAAAATCAAGTTTGACCTCGTGGTCTGTCCTGAGCTGTCCTTTGTTCTAGAGAAATGTAAACACGGAGCGATGCGGTGGACAGAGCCACGGAGGGGAGTGTGAGAGAGAGAGTGAATAAGTGAGTCGTCGGGTGAGTGAGTGAGTGAGTCGGTGTGTATGTAGGCGAGTCTGTGGGTGAGTGAGTGATTGGTAAAGAGAGTGAGAGAAAGAGTGGGTGAGTTAGAGCGTGAGCGGGTGAGGGGACAAGCGAGTGATGGGTCAAGAGAGTGAGTGGGTCACTGCGTAGGTGAGCGAGCAAGTGGGTGAGTGAGCGGATGATTGCTCGGCTGAGAGAGTGGGTGGGTGAGCGATTGGTCAAGGGAGTTAAGTGCAAGAGCGAGGTTGGTGAGTGGGTGAGCGAGTGGGTGGGTGGGTGAGTGAGCGAGTGGGTGAGTGAGCGAGTGGGTGAGTGGGTGGGTGAGTGGGTGAGTGAGCGTGTGGGTGCGTGAGCGAGTGGGTGAGTGAGTGGGTGGGTGAGTGAGTGAGTGGGTGAGCGAGTGGGTGAGTGGGTGAGTGAGTGGGTGAGTGAGCGTGTGGGTGCGTGAGCGAGTGGGTGAGTGAGTGAGTGGGTGAGTGGGCGAGTGGGCGAGTGAGCGTGTGGGTGCGTGTACGGATGAGGGCTCGGCTGACAGAGAGAGTGGGTGGGTGAGTGATTCAGGGGGTTTGTGTGTGGGGGTGAGTGGCTGAGTCGGTGAGTCAATAGGTGAGCGTGAATAGGGTCCCGTGTTATCTATTATTGTATTATTATGTGGGTAGCGGTAGTGCAGCGGTGAGCTGCACTACGTCTACCCTACAGTCTGTTAAGGCTGTACGGGGTATCTTTGTCGTTGTCTTTTGTATTATTTATGAACATTACATCTACTCCCATTCTCTGCTCACCCACCACCATTCGCACACAAAGACAAAGGTGCCCGTGTAGCCCCTAGACAGTGAGGGAGTGGGGTGGCCGTGACGATTCCATACCACCTTTGTGTCCCCACTTCTCCACAGCGCAAGCTATACTTCTATGGGTCTCTGTGTGAGTCTGTGGGTCTCTGTGTGAGTCTGTGGGTTTCTGTGTGTGAGTCTCGGTGAGAGTGGGTCTGTGTGTGAGTCTGTGTGAGTCTGTGGGTCTCTGTGTGTGAGTCTCTGTGAGAGTGGGTCTGTGTGTGAGTCTGTGTGAGTCTGTGGGTCTCTGTGTGTGAGTCTCTGTGAGAGTGGGTCTGTTTGTGAGTTTGTGGGTCTCTGTGTGAGTCTGTGGGTCTCTGTGTGAGTCTATGGGTCTGTGTGTGAGTCTGTGGGTTTCTGTGTGAATGTGGGTTTCTGTGAGAGT